GTTGCAGAGGCTACTCTGGATGGAGCAGAGGGTAAGAGGAGTCTAGCTTGGGCCACCTGTCAGAATTTAGGGTCACGGGCAGCAGTAGAGGCAGCATGACGGCACAGAGCACTCAGCCAGGGTGGGAACAAAGGGGAGGAGAGGGACCCACGGGACAGTGATGGTGCGAAGCCCACTGGCCCCATTCACCCCCTTCAAGGGTCTTCCCTCCCCGTGTTCAAAGCAGCAGGAGGGGCTCTGCTCACTCTGCTGCGGTGCCCAGAGAAACACCCATGCGGCCTCCACCTCTTGCTGCTTGAGAAGGTGGGTTCTGATTAGCGCGGACAGCAGGAGCTGCCCGTATCCCCAGAACCCATGGTATAAGCATCAGGAACGGCAGAGAGTGAGTCTGGGCCACCAGGGCAGGAGGTAAGAGGGAGCAGATATTCTGAGGGATTCGGAGAGGCAGTTACCGCCCAGCACACACGTGCCGAGTCTGTCCCGCCAGCTGCAGTGCTGGCAGCCGGTCCCCAGCCAAGAGGGGCCCAAGTTCCTCTGGTACCGGAGATAGATTCAAGGTCAATTTCTCACTCCAAAGGAGGTGGAGCAGGTTCTTTCCCCTGGGGGCGAGGGGGGCTCTTATCCAGAGGCACAGAGTCACGGAGGGTGGATAAAGCACGCCCAAGGTTTAATGCCCCCTCTCTTCGCCAGCAGCTTTGGGGGAAAACAGTGGGGAGGAGCCTTAGCCAAAGAGGGGAGCACAGTACAGATTCTCTTGCTCCAGTTGTGATTTCAGGGGCAGGACAGGTGCCCCGTGCAGCTTACGGTTCGTCAAGGAAGCTGAGTTCTTTCTTGTCAGTTGTGGGGCGGGGGGCGGGGGTGGGGGTGGGGATGGAGAGCAGCCCCTGGCAAGCATAGTCATGTCCCCAAGGCATGTCTTGCTGTTTTAAGCTGTCCTAGGAGTTGGCCATGGAGCACTCCTTAAGAGCAGCTGGGGGTCATCCTAACTGTCATCAGAGTGGGCTTTCTGGCAGGGCTGGGCATACGATCACATGGCGGTTGGCCAGCTGGTTAGCTTCAGTGCCCAAGACCATCAGGAGGCCAGGCATTCATGACAGGGCCTCCAGCAGAGAAACCCTGTCCCTAATTCCTTCTTCCTGTCCTCGGAAGGTGTACCACCAAGAGCTAATTCCACACCTTTCGCAGGAAACTTGATGCCTAGATTCACACTGCTGTGTTAAAAATCAAGGCTTGCTGGCTGGAGCTACTTGAGGAGACCATCTGGTGACCAAAGAAATAAAGCGTCACTTCAAAGTACTACTGGCCCCAGGGGACCTTTTAGCAGAGACCTCCATTAGACCTGCTCTCCTGGCCGCTTTCAGCCCTGCAAATATCTAAGGACCATAGGGCCTTTTCTGTTTGATTAGAAATTAGGGGGACACCTTTGATATGGAGGAGGATGGCTCCCACCCTTCTCCCCGCCCTGACCTCTGCTTCATCCCAGAGGGTCAGTTGCTGCTAGAAAGGGCCACACTGCTAGCCGTAGTTCCCCTGCATCCCTGAGCCTTCTCGCGGTGAGGGTGACATTCCTGTCCAGACCCCACCTGGCCTGAAGGATTCACCCCTCCCTTCCCTGGCCCCCCTCAAAGCCTCCTGGGACCAGAAGGGATTAGCTTCCTGGAATGAGATCTGAAACTGTGGAATTCTGTCTTCAAGCCACAGGGGGCGGATTGGGCTGTGGTTGCTCTGGGTGCCTGGGGGTGCTTTGTCTTATGGGGTGTGTTAGACCTTGCCTGTGGACTGGGGAGAGCCTTCCTAATGTGTCTCCCTTGGAAACTGACTTCTCTGACCTGGAGGGGAAGGACCGATACCCTCCGATTCTACTGATGCAGGTTACAAATGTCCCACTGACATGTCCCCTAGGTGTCACTCTCCTGGTGGGTTTGGGTTTCGGCTCCCAGCTTAAACTGGCCAACAGCTTCTGATTCCCTCACTGGCAGAGGCCTTAGTCCCTGGAGTCACTTGAAAGAAGGGTTGGTGGGAATCACTTAATCTCTTCATGTTGAGCCAGAGACTGAGTTTAAACCCATGGTCGTTAAACCTACTCATTAACTCCTATTGGGGCTTTGGCCGTGGGCAGCGTCCCCAGAGAGAGAGAGAGTAGTGTGACTTCACACACACAGCTGGGTCACCCCTAGACCCTGCACGGCCCCTCCCATCTGCTTAGGAAGGAAGCAGAGTGCGGTCATCCAGGCATGTGGAAAGATCCATGAGGAGTGGGAGGTCTGAGCCCAAACTCTGCTTGGTCTCTGACCCTGTCTTCCATGAAGCCTTTCCTAGATGACCTCGCCCCTTAATGATCTCCTTCTTTGAGCCCAGGAGCTCGTTGCCCTGAGCCGTATCATCCTCCATTTCAGTTCTTCCTGCCTCTGCTGGAGGGCTGCACAGTGCCCTGCTCATCCTGAGGGCTAAGGGACTCCTGGGAGACGGGGAAGTGAGTGGGAGGACATCCCCCCCACCTTCAACCACACTCGCTCTAGACCCACCCACCCACCCAACCTGTGTTCAGATCGCCTGTCTGCCACTTATTGGCTGGGTGACCTTGGGCAAGTGACTTAACCTTTCTGAACCTCAGCTTGCTCATCTGTGAGATGAGCATTATAATAGTATTTACCTCACAGAGTCTTAACAGAGATTAGATGAAATAATGCATATAAGGTATTTCTCACAGTGCCCGACCAGAGTTGGCTTTCAGTGGAGGCAAACCAGGGCTACCCATTAAGTTATTTCCACTGATTTTAAATACTGGATCTGTAGATAAATTTCATGTGGAAGAGGAAAAAAAGACGTTTGCTAGTAAAAAAGAAAAAAAAAAAGTTTGAGAGCCATTGAGTTCAATCAGCCCCTTTTATACATCACCACAGATGCCCAGAGAGAACTTCCCCGTTAGGGTATTGCCTGATTTCTGTGTTTTCTGTCTTTATTGGAGAAAAAGTGATTTATAGTTGAGGGCTACCCTGGCTTCACCTTTTAACACTCTCATAATGTGCCCGACACCAGCTTCAGCCACTGCTGGTGAGGGTGGATCCTCCCTGGGCGGAGTCAGGTGACAAGACAGGAGCAGAGCGGACTGCATGCAGGTGGGCAACTCAGGTGCCTCTTCTGAGGTCCAGGAAATGGTGGTTTCCCCCCATGACCATCCCGCCCAGCATCTCTGAGTCCTCCCAGATTCGAGTTGCATCCTGGCACAACACCTTGTTTCACGTGATGTAGTGGGGACACCAGCCCTGCGCCGGGCCCTTCAAACCAAGGCTGCCCAGCCATCAGCTCTCTTGAAGCAAATTTGCCTGTGGCCTCTGGGTTTTGTTTTAGGATCCGATTGCTCTGAAGTAGCCCAGAGTTACTGATCCCCAAGAGATTCAGCTGCCAGAATTCCCAAGAAAGTTCCCCGAGTCTTAGATGCAGCCCTCCCCGCCCCCCCCAACAACTATCAATTCCTGAATCTTGAAAGACCCACAGAGCATCTCTGCAGCAGCCCTTTCCTGTAACAGAGGAGGAGACAGAGGCACAAAATGGCCAATGGCAGAGGGTGGACCGGTGTGTGGGGCTCCCATTTCTCTGTCTTGGGCTCCTTCTGCAACATCGAGCATCATTTCTGCAAAACAAGCATCAGAAGCCAATACGCTACAGGCTGCTTTTCTGCAGTTCCACTTATCAATATTTTTAGCTAGGGAGGGAGGTACGGCCAGGGACAGAAGGGGAGGCAAGGTGGGAGAGAACCACAACCACCCAGGACTGGTGATGGCAAACAAGCCTGCTGTGTGGTGTAATTGGGTGCGCCCACGGCATTTGCCGTCACTGCGGCCACCCCCCCCAACATCTAAGGCTCCCCCACATAGGGGCCCTCCTCCAGAGGGGGCAGGACCTAGGAGAGAAGAAAGAAGGAAGGAACTCAGGAATGTGGGCTTTCAGAGCTTGATGAATAGAAAATGAGCCACTGATTTCATTCATCAGGACCCCTTACTGCCTGCGCCCCTCACATGGACCGCCCCCCACACACACACACACACACAGACACTGCCCAGTGGGCTTAGCAGGGAAATCAGCTCCATAGTCGCATTTCAGTAGCTGAAAGGAGAAAGCAGGCCTTTCCAATTTCAGCATCTTTGGGGGAGAAAGATGTATTTACCTCCCCTCTGTCTGAGCCCACTCCTGGCAATTTTCTCAAATGTCCCTGCCATTTGTTAAAAACCCAGCTTGTGGCCCAGCTGGTGCACGAACAGCTGATGGAGGGTGAATGGTCGCGGGAAGAGGGAAGGTGAGGCCGCCTTCTGGTGGTCCCAGCACCTTCCCAGAGCTGACCGCTGCTCTTGGGTGCAGAAACTCTCAGAACTGTCCTTTCAAGCTGAAACGCTGAGGCCACACACAGCTTCACCTGGAAGGAGAAGAAAATGACGGCAGTGATGTTTATTGCACATTCTCCACCAGGTGTCACATCTGGGCCACATGCCGGACCCAGAGGTTTCACTGATTCTCTTGGGGAGACACTCTTATTCCTGATAATCTTCCCGATAACGGGGCTGAGTCCAGACCAAGGTCCCACAGCTACAAGTGGCAGATCTGGGATCCGAACCCCCGTCTGTTAGTTGAAGCTGTGCCCGCCGAGCACCCTTCCCCTGGCGCTGTCCTTTTGCTGGTCCTTCTGCCGTTCCAGACCCTGTCACACAGGCCCTGAGGGCTGGGCAGGTGTTCCCCTTGCCTGCTGAGCAGACAGGCCCAGCACGGGCAGGGGTCATCAGCAAGGTCACAGGGGGCTCCCCGACCAGCCAGGCCTCGTTGCACAGCCCCGTAACCACGAGCTCTCACACATCTCGTTTGAGTCTGACCACAAGCCCGGGACACAGGGACATCATTATCCGTGTTCTGCAGAGGAGCCAAGTGACCACGCTGCGTGTGGCCCAGGGCCAGGTGGCGCTCCGCTCCTGCCCCTCACTGACGCCCCCCCTCTTCTCTTCCTCCAGTCCCCAGTCTTCATAGCCCAAGTTGGCCAGGACCTGGTCTCCCAGACGGAGGAGAGGCTCCTACAGAGGCCCTGCAAGGAAGTCTTTTCTGCCTGTGCACAGTAAGTGCTCGCTCCCTCCCCAGACCGAGCATCGGGGCCCTTCAGCCTCCTCTGGGCAGCCACACAGCCTCCCCACCGCCACTGACAGAGGCTGCCTCTCCCCCACACCTGGCATGCTGGGCACCAGGGCAGGGCTTCAGTGCCCGGGGGCCCCAGCCAAGCCACCCAGCTGTTTGTATACTTCTTATGAAGGGAAAAGATACCAAAGTTCCAAGTCCAAAGAAAACATCTGCCTCAAAGGGTGTTGAAAGCAAGTGGTCTCCAGGCTGTTGAGACAGAGGAATGTGTAAAAACTTGACCCCGTCTGGGTGGTTTGGAAGTCCTTCCCGGCCCCCAACCCCCACTGCTGCCACCAACCAGAGCTGGGTGGTGCTGCTGCAGGAAGGGGGGCTACAGGCCGCCTTCTCAGTCACCCCATCACCTTGTCTGCAGGCCATACAGCGATCCTGATGCAATAGCAGACAAATCGGTGCATGTGCTGTTGGCCAGGCACCAATGAAGTCCCCACTGGTCCCTCACACACGTACTATGAAGGCCTGAGCCACTAGGCACACACACGTTCATGTGTCCACATGTGTACCCTTCTGCATAAGCCAGTATGTGCACCAAAATCTTCTGGATCCTCATCACCTCTGAATAAGTCTGGGGACTTGCTGTGCGCCCTTGGTCAGCCTTTGTACCACAGACAACCAGGCACCTGCTGTGTGTCTGACACCTAGCACAGGGGATACCATGGTGAGCAAGAACCCAGTCCCAGCTTTCAGGAAGCTTACAGCCAGGCAGGAAAACCAGTGCCCCTGTGCACTGTGGGAAGAGCCGGGAGCACCATGATGAGAATGGACATTTGGGGAGGGCCAGCTGGGGACCCAGCCCTGGTAGGTGCCAGGGAGAGACCCCCATAAGCAGAAACAAACGTGGTTGCTGCCCTCTTGGAGCTGGCTGAGGGTTAGATCTGACAGTGGGTGAGGTCCCTGGGCTGTCACTGTGACCCCGAGGGAGTGGACAACCTGGTGCCCTACACTGGCCCCTGCTGTCATGTCTGGCGGGACACAGTGTCCCACATGCCTCTACTGTATATGCCCCGCACTGCACCCCCACCCCACCCCCCCCCAACTGCCGCAGCCATCTGCAGGTCCCAAGTGCTTGGGCTACACTTGGTCAGCATTGCCACTTT